TTATTTTAAGTTAAAAAAACAATTTTTTAGACAGTGAAATTTAAGCTAATACTTTTTTTATAAAATAATGATTATTTTTGAAATTTTTATAAAGATCAACTTCTTTCGAGACCGGACATGATAATACTTTTGAAGAACTTTTTTTTTAATAATATTAGCGACCTGTCTAATGTTTAAGGGACATGAGCTACCTATAATATATTTTTTTAAATTTTTTAATTCAGTATTATTTTATTTTATAGAACACATTTAGTATTATTTTATTTTAAAGAACACATTTAGAGGGTGTAAGCATAACTGGAGACTTGGGAGCCACATAAACAATTATTTACTTATGAATTAAAACTTCAAAACAATTATTAACAAATAAATTTAATCATGTTTCTTTAATTAATTATATTTAATTAACTAATGCTCATTATCTATATATATATATATATATATATATATATATATATATATATATATATATATATATATATATATATATATATATATATATATATATATATATATATATATATATATATATATATAGACACACACATACACTACAATTGGTGTAATAGTTTATAAATGTTTAAACAATTATTCTACAAAAAATTTCATTTTTGTCACATTTTTTATTCCACAATCAATTACGTCTCCAGACTTTACTGGACCAACACCATGTGGAGTCCCCATAAGTATTAAATCTCCCTTTTCAAGTGTCGTAACTTTGCTAACATAACTAATTATTTGTGAGATTCCGAAAATCATATTCTTAGTGTTTCCTGATTGTTTTAAACAGTTGTTCACTTCCAACCATAACTCTAAATTTTCAGGATTAACTATTTTACTTTTTGGTATAAATTCACTAATGGGACAAAATGTATCCCAACATTTTGCTAAAAACCATGGGTGAGATTTTGCTTTTATTTCTTCTTGAAAATCTCTTGCAGTCATATCTAAAGCTAATACATATCCACCAATGTAATTAAATGCATTGTTTATGGTAATATTAGATCCTTCTTCTGCAATTACAACTCCAAGCTCAACTTCATGATGAAGTGTGTTACATTTTGGTGGAATTTTAATTAAAGAACCTTCCTTGATAATTGACGAAGGAGGCTTCAAAAAAATTAGAGGGACAGAAGGTAATGGGTTGTTGAGTTCTAGTGCATGATCTACAAAGTTTCGTCCAACACAAACAATCTTTCGACAAAAATTCGAAAAATTATGAAGATCTTTCATAGTTAGGGACAGGTGATTTTATAGAGTTAGTCCTGTATCTTTCATAAAAAAAAAAAATAAAAATAAAAATGTTTTTATAAATATTTATAATAATTAAAAAAAATAATAATAATAATAAAAATATATAATTAGTGATAATAAATAAAAATATATAAATAGTGATAAACTAAAACCATTAATTTAGTTTAATAAAAGTGTTACATAACTCAGTACAACATTTTATAACAAAATGACATCATTATATATCTTTAATTATTTATTGTACACAAATAATTATTTACTGTATACAGTTGATGACTGTTAGGGGTACAAATGTATTTAGGTAAAATGTATTTAGGTAACATGTGTTTAGGTAAGACTGTTAGGTACCATGTATTTAGGTAAAATGTATTTAGGTAAGACTGTTAGCGGTACACATGTATATAGGTAAATTGAATTTTGATAAAAATTAATAGTAAAATTTCTCATAAAATACGTTATAAGGACATATTTTGGGGTCGCGCCTGATTTACCTTTCTTTTCACACTAAACACTTTTTTTCTACTAGGCCGCAACCCCAACTTTAACCTAATTATATCCTTATAACCTATTCTATAAAAAAATTTTTTACTTTTTATTTGTACCATAATTCAATTTACCTATATATCTGTACCTGAGAGCCAACTTATCTGAACTCCAAAAATACAATTTTACAGTAGGAGCAAAATAAAGATTTTTTTCCACTTGTTGATAAGTGGAAAAAAATCTTTATTTTGCTCCTACTGTAAAATTGTATTTTTGGAGTTCAGATAAATTGTATTTTTGGAGTTCAGATAAGTTGGCTCTCAGGTACAGATATATAAGTAAATTGAATTTTGAATATATTCTCTCACAACTTTTTGTTTTTGCGCAAATTTTGAATATATTCTCTCACAACTTTTTGTTTTTGCACAAATTTTGATCATATTCTCTCACAACTTTTTTAATAACCACTTAAGAAAATTAAAATTCATACGCTATGTACAATTTATAATACTTTATATGTATGATTAGTTAATTTTTATGCGACGGAGATTTCAGATATGTATATACCTCATTTTACCCAAAAATGGAGTCAAGACAAGTTGGCTCTCAGGTACAGATATATGTCATCATAAAGTAATCCATACTTTATGATGACATAAAAATAAAAAAATATTCATTACAGTAATTTACTGGATATATCCAATACATACGTACGCACTGAGGTAATCCTACAGTTACGCGGCCTAAAATATTTCTTGTAGATTTCGTAATGTAATATTTCGTAATGTAATATTTCGTGTAACCTTAAAATAATTTCTTGTAGCTGCAGGCTATAAGATAGTCGATGTAGCAGCACTCCGTTGCGAGTCAGGCTATAAGATAGTCGATGTAGCAAAACCCCCTGGCAAAAATATAATTATTTTAGGCCGCGTAACTGTAGCTTTACCCGTACTGAATATATCCAGTAAATTACTGTAATGAATAATTTTTTCATTATATAGTGAAACATGCGATTTAATATTTTAGCTTTTAAATTTAATTTCATAAGTATTTGAAACAAGTTTTAACATAAATAAAGTCTTTTAAAGTCTCATTCTTCAGACTAACTTTGCTATTTTTCAATGATTTTCAGCGACTTTAGTTTGGGGGTCATCCAAAATATAAGGGTCCATTAAATATTATTTTTTTACGTAGAATATTAACTCTCCTGCGCAGAGATTTTGAGTTATCACTGTTCAATAAAATGCGCAATAGAGCAAATGAAAGTTATTTTCTCCTACTTAAAGCATAGTCAATAGAAGGCATAACTTCTCTAAGCTACTAATTAAAAGTTGCAGATCTTCTACTTTTACGTAGGAGAGAAATTCTTTTGACGCCCGCCTAACATTTGTTACTTTTTCAAATTTAATTGTTACTTTTTTAAATTTGTTAATAGTGGAGGTTTTAATAATGAATTTATTATTATTATTTAACTTTATCACAAAATAATCACAACTAATGTAATTTAACTTAATCACAAAATAATGTGAGTAATCTAACTATTATTGAACCATTTTAATAAAATAAGCATAAAACATTTATAGTGCATAAAACATTTATAGTCTGATACTAGATGCAAAACCTAAAAGAGTGAAAATTAATTTAAGTTGTAAACATTTTTTTGCTGTTTTTTACATTTTTATGTTTATAAACTTAGAGTTCGTAATTGCAAAAATTATGTGGCTCAACTTTTTCGAGAAAAAAATTGAGCCACACAATTTTTGTGAAAAAAAAACACAAATTTTAAGTACGCTCTTAAAATTTGTATTCTTAAAATTTAAGACTTCAGGCTTAACACTGTGAAGAAACATTTCCTTCACATGCTAAAAAATATGAATCATAAAACCTTTTTATTGCATTTGATCATCAAAAACTGAAATTTACTTTTGACTTATGCAACTCAGAAAGTTTAACTTGTCACGCTTTCATATTGTCTTGACACGGAATTTCGTGTCAATTCTTCCGAGGAAGAATTATTACGTAAAAAAAAAACATGACTATAAAACAATAAAAAAATTTGTACTAGTCGGCTGGAAAGGATTAGGCTGTCTAAAATTAAAGCTAAAATGTAACTTTAGACTTATTAAAGTCTAAAATTTTAGTTAAATTAATGTTTATTGTATAAATACTAAATTCAATTCAATTACTAAAAACAATTCAACATAAAATATTTGTTGAATCGGGTAAAATCAGTTGAATCATAGAATGAACCACAAAATATTTAAGAAGATTTTATTTAATAATATATTATATAAATTATAATTAATATAATTAATGAAATTCTATAGAAGTTTTGGTATACTCATTACAAATCTCTTTACAATACAAGACTTTACTTATAAATAGTTTTATTAAAAATTTCCCGAAATTTAAATTGCTATTTCGTAGCAATAAGGTTTTTAGTTTCCGCTCATTGTGGTATTTTATTGGTACTATTACGCAGGACATACGTTCGCAAATGTTTTTTTGATAGTTAATCTGTACCAAATAAAAAAATGTAGTTTTTAATTAACTTATTTTGTTTGCCGATTAAAATATTCAAATATAGCAAGCACTACTCTACATGCTACACAAACTTTAAGGTTCTGGAAAAAATCCCCCCGAAATAATCCCCTCTCAAGAAAAAATTCCCCCGGAAAATGTCCCTCTAAAAAAATTTTTTTTTTAACTTAAAAGTTATCAATATGTAGTTATGTTTATTTCTTTATTTATTTTAAATATTTATATAAAATACTTAATTTTTCATCAAAATGTCAACATGCGCTATTCCTCGAAGGTAGCGAATGTGAAACCCTAACCCTAACCCTGGCAAACAGCGAACTGGTAAAATGTGACTTTTTTTGCAAACCATCGTAGTTAATTTAGCAATATATTTTAAGGACTTTTAAGCAAAAAGATTATTTAAAAAAAAAAATAAAAAGAAATTAATTGAAACTAGACGAATACAATATGAAAAAATATATATATTTTTTAATTATTTGATAGACTGCCTGCCAAAACCAAAACCTTAGTCAATGATCCGATGGCGATCACAAATAATACCGAATATGTATTATAACTTATATTTTTAAGATCTTAACCGTTTTTACATTAACTATATTATTTATATTTTTTATACTTTTGTATCTTAAAAACAACAACAACACTAAAAACTCAATTTATACAAAAATTTCGTTCAATAACAAAAAAACACTATTGTTCAAATAGTCGCCAAATAATTGTTATTTTGTTCGGTATATAGCCATATTGGCGCTATTTACTGGTTATATCGATCGTGGTATCGGAATGTTGTTTTTCTTTTATGCTAATTCAATTTTCTTCCAATCATTCTCCCCGTCTTTGATAGACTCCAGTCTATCAAACATTTAATTATCAAACTCAAGAAGACACAATCTCGTAATTGGTCGTATAAATTCTTTTTCGCCAATTTTGACTTTCACAACTCTTACACGTCCATCCTTACCTTCAAAGACTCCCGTAATTCTACCAAGTGGCCTATGTCCTCTAGATGTATCTGGAGAAATTACTAACACAATGTCATCCGTTTTTATTTCGCGTTTTTTCTGAGTCCATTTATATCTTTTAGATAAAGATGGAAGCCATTCTCGCATCCACCGTTTCCAAAATTGACTTAGTAGTTCTTGCACTTGACGCTAGCGCTTTTTAGGATGATAGCCTTTAGATTGAACTGAGTCAGGTGTATATAGTCCACCAACTTGTCCAATCAAAAAATGATTTGGAGTTTATGGAATATCATCTTTTATATTGGCACTCTGATATGTTAGTGGGCGAGAATTCAATAAACTCTCAGCACCTGTAAATGCCGTACAGAGTTCTTCATCTGTAATGTCGGCTTTTTCGAGTATCCCAGTCATTGCACGTTTGACAGCTTTGGCCATTATTTCAAATACGCAGCCTAGATGAGGTCCTAACGGAGCATTAAAGTGCCTCTTAATTCTTTTATCAGCTGTAGAGTTAGTAATTTTATTCTTATCTAAGTCGTTGACAATTTCGTTTAGTTCTCGACATCCTCCAACAAAATTTGTTCCATTGTCCGTTTAAACTTTTAATGGTAATCTTCTTCTATTGACCATTCGATAAAAGGCATTAAGGAATGAATTTGTATCTAGATTATGAGCCATCTCAAGATGTACTGCTCGTGATAGTAAACAGGTAAACAAGCACAAGTATCTCTTTTGTCGTATCTTCCCTCTACTTTGCATAGTAAGAAATGGACCAGCAAAATTGATACCAATTCTAGCAAACGCACGTAGTGGTTCTTTAAAGCGCATTGCTGGTAAAGCGCATTGCTGGTAAAATATTGATGAAAACCTTAGTTGGAAGTATCAGATTGATTTATTGTGCAACAAAGTTGCTCGAAATATAGGAGTAATGTACAAGGCTAGAAATGCTTTAAATAAACACAGTTTAACACAATTATATTTCTCTTTAATCCATTGCCATATAAATTATGCAAATATGGCTTGGGGTAATACCAATAAATCTAAACTGCTACCTCTTTATCGTCAGCAGAAGCATGTTGCTCGGCTTATCAATTATAAAGATCGATTTGCTCATGCCAAACCATTATTATTTCAAATGAAAATTCTTAATATTTATCAGCTAAATATTTTTAATATACTTTATTTTATGTTCAAGTGTAAAACCAACGAATCTCCAGTTTCTTTTCATAATCTATATACCTTAAAAGATAAAAATAAATATAACTTAAGAAATGATAATCAAATTCAGCAACCTTTATCTTTAACTAATTTTGGAAAGTCATGTATTTCATATCGAGGAGCTTTTCTATGGAACAAAATAGTTTTAAAAAATTTTGATTTTTCCCATGAATGGAACTATCTTTCATTCAAGAAAAAACTAAAAGAAATTGTTTTGTCTTTTGAAGACACTTTTTTATATTTTTAAATTCTTTTAAAAATGAATATGAAGTTTATTACATAAGGTAATATATAAATATTATATCTGATCCATAACTTATGTGTTTGTGAAAACAGTACTTTTTAAAATATTTTTGTATTTATATATAAGAGTATCAACAATTTCTTTATTCCAATTTTATTTATATATTATTACGAAATTTACGTCTCGCTAATTTTTAATACGACATTGTTTAGATTTTATACTTCATGTTAATTTAATGTACTTAATATTCACGAGCGGTTCTCGATGATAAGACCTGAAGGTCTTCTGCGAGTCTCCGCGTTCTTTCTTTTTTGTATATATTTTCTTTTATTGTATAACAACTTTTATCTCAACTATCTTATTGTATAACTATATTAAATATTCAAGAAAAGAACAAAAAAAAAAAAAAAAAAAAAAAAAAAAGGACCATCAGCTGTTGAGCAGGTTTACATCTTCTTAATTTACATTTGTTGCATTTTGCTTCTGCATCTCGGATTTCTTCCCGTCCTCGCATTACCCAATATCGTTCTGATAGTTTTGTTAATAATTAATTTGTTCCCATCACATGATTGGTATCGTCATGGTAATGCTTAACAATCAATTTTTTGTTATTGTATGTATTCTCGGCAAAATGATTGGATTCTTGATATCGTAGGGTGAGTAATGGGCATTTTGCAATCGACTGCAAGATCGCAATAATCCGTCTTCGTCAATTTGCGGATTTAAAGAAATAATTTTGCTTGATATCGATATCGGTTTTCCTTTTTCAATGTTGCTATATTCTTCTTTAAAGCTTTCTTTTTGAGCTTTAGCTATGATTTCTTTTTCGCTTTCATGATATTCATCAGCTGCTATATCACCCTTTTTACGAAAGTCTGTTTCAAATCGACAATTTCCTATAAGCCGATGGATCCAGCCGTTTATCCTGACAAGTTTTTTCCAACATGAGAACTTGTTTATATCAAGCAATTGCTTTGTTACTTCAGTGGATAATGCAAAATTCATTAATACTGGATTTTTCTTTACTTCAATTGAAGCCTCTTGTGTAACTTCAATGTGATTCTGTGGCCATTTTTCTTCTAAAGAATTAAGGAAACTTGGTCCATGCCACCATACATAATTGCTTTCTAATTCTTTAACAGTTGTTCCTCTTGTTAGTAAATCAGCTACATTAGTTTTTGTTGGTATGTATCTCCATTGTTTTAGTTCAGTCTTTGATTGAATGAATCCAACACGGTTGGCAACAAATGGTTTCAACTTTCGACTTTGATTTTTTATTCACCATAAAACATTAAGACTATCACACCATATAGTTACGTCCTTAGTTTCCAGCTTCAATGCCTTGATAATCTTCTCTGCAAGTCGTAAACCGAGGAAAGCTCCAAGTAACTCAAGTCTTGGTATACTAATAGATTGCAATGGACTTACTCGGGCTTTTGACATTATGATCACACAGGTCACTTCTCCTGTGTCATATAAACATTGTTGGTAAGCAACAGCACCGTAAGCTATAAGACGCATCCATAAAAAACATGAATTGACCTATTTGTTACAGTTGAGGTTGCTTGTAAACATCTGGGAATGTTTAATTTTGGGAGATCGTTTAGTTCTTGAAACCATTGATAAACATTATTTGCAATCCTATCCGGAACTGCATCATCCCACTCAATTCCATCAATCCACAGTTCCTGCATAATTATTTTGATTCGAATGATATATGGTGCCAAAAAACCAGGGTTGGCAAAAACCCGGGTTTTTTTAAAAAAACCCGGCCCAGTGGGGTTTTTTGGATAATTTTGGGTTTTTTTTGGGTATTATTGGGTTTTTTTGGGTTTTTTTTATTTTTATTTTTGTTAAAAAAAATTTTTTGTTTGTTTAATAATATTGAAAACTAATATCATTTTTAACTTTAAGTTTATTTACAATATATTTTTTAAGTTTTTAAAGTTTATACATCTCAAATTATTTTCAATAAGTTTTTTTTAATTACAGTTTAAAAAAAATCTAAAAATGTAACAAAATAAAAAAAAATCATGATAAACCTATATGTATTGATTTATTTTAGATTTAATAATAATATTTAAAAATGCCGACGGGAAGTGGGAGAAAGAAAGCTGGAGAATGGGATGAAGTGACTGAAGTTGAAAACAGTACAAAGGTTTCTTGTGACTATTGTCATGCTTTGATTAGCAACAAAATAGAACGAGTAAAACCCCATTTAAAACATTGCCAAAAAAAGTTTAAGTTTTTACACAAGCATACAGAAGGGGAAAATCTCAATTTGTCAAAATATTTAAATAAAAGTTGTGATGATGTACCAAATAATGATTTAAATATTAGTGCATCTTCTCTAATAGCTGGACCATCATCTCAAGTTGGAAAAAGTTCTTTGGCATCTGTAAGTTCTATAAGTTCGTTAACACCTTGTAAGAAGCAGCGGTTGATGTCATCGTACACAATATCAACTAATATGGAACAGAAAGAAAATATTGATATAAAAATAGCAAAACTTTTCTTCAGTGCAAATGTATCATTTAAAACTTCTGAAAATCAAGAATTTATAGACATGATCAGTTCATTGAGAAGCTAGGAGAAGAGCTTTTAGAAAAAGTTTATGAGGAAGTAAACAAAAAAATGACGGATCAACTTACCCAAGAAGAGAAAACAGTAACAATTATGCAAGACGGATGGAGTAGTGTTACTAATGATCTCATTATTGCTCACAGTGCATATGACGGACTTAATTCTAAAATTTTATGCATTACTGATTGTGCATCAAATAAAAAAACAGCCAAGTATTGTACCGAACTCCTTTGTAATGTCATTAAAGATCTTAAAGAAACATACAATAAAGAAGTATTTGCTGTGGTAACAGATAATGAAAATAAGATGAAAAAAATGAGGGATTCAATCAAAGAAACGTATCCAAATCTTTTAACATATGGGTGTTCTGCACATTATTTAAACCTTTTAGAAAAAGAAGTAACACACCCAGATGTCATCAAACATGTGGTTGAAGTGCAGAAATATTTTCGTAATACACATCAACCGCATGTAAACATTTTGTATTTGTGGGTTAAACTTAAAGTATAAAAAATATATAAAAGTTTAAAATTAACTATTTAATTTTTATTTTAAGGGATGGTTGCGTGAGAAAGGAGGGCATATGCCTCAGTTACCAAACGATACCCGATGGAACTCCCAAATTGACTGTATAGAAACATACATAAAAAACTACCAAATTTATGTAGAAATAGTAGATAATCATGATATATGTCAAAATCAGAAAAATTATTGAAAATCGAGCAATATTTAGAGAAGCTAACAGTCTTCAAACCCAACTTAAAATATTTGGTGTTGTTTTAGATCAAGCATTTAATTTTTTTATATTAAAGTTTTTTTACATAATAAGATTTTGTAGGTGTAAAGGAAAAGTAATAAAAATGAATATATTATGTTAATTAAAAAAATTTGCAATTTGATGCAAAGTGACAGTTGTCACCTATCCGAATGTGTTGAGCTGTGGCTCTCACTTCTGAATAACCCTGAACTAAGTCATTACCACACAGCTATCAAAAAGAGATGTAATACATGACCAGTCCTCGCTTTTTGGGTAAAAATAAGTTTTGCTTAAAAAAAAAAAGTTTTGCTTTAAAAAAAAATTGTTTTTATACCTATATGCTAATCTGAATTTTTTTTTATAGGCAAAAACCTGCCGATTGAAAATGAAGATGAGGCTGAAGAATGGCTTTACAATCATTATCCTGATTTTGTACCTGGGTTGATTTTGCTGAAATTAAAGGATTGTAATGCATTTCCTAAAAGGATGTTGAGCAATCAAATTATATCAACAATATTGTGCAGTGATTGGTGGTCTATCATTAACCAGAAAAATGAAAAATCAATTCAGAAAAAATTGCCTGAAGGATTTTGCAAATTTATTTCTAAACTTCAAACGTGCCCTGCTAGCTCAGGATCAATAGAAAGAATATTTTCTTCGTTTGGTTTTATTTGGTCAAAAGTTAGAAATAAATTAGGATGTGAAAAGGCTAAAAAGCTTGTGCAAATATATAGACAGTATCAAAAATAGTTTAGAGTTTATGTTTTTACATTGAAGTTTATATTTTTAGAATATAAAGTGTGATCAAATATTACATTAAAGTAAAGTTGTATTTGCAAGAAGTATACCAATAATGTAATTAGTCTTGTCAATCTATTCTAAAAACTCTGATTGGATGAATTTGTTTGGTTTCCAAAATAAAATTGTGTTAAATAAAAATAATGTTGTGTTTAAATTGAAAATTTCCCTTTATAGGTAGCTCTATAATATGTTTTCAGAAATGTTGGTTAATAATAATATATATTAATAATACAATAGTTCATAAGTTTTTAGATATATTTCAAAAAAACCCAGATTGCCTGGGTTTTATTGGGTTTTTTTAGGTGGGTTTTGTTGGGTTTTTTTGGGCGGGTTTTTTAATGCCAACCCTGCAAAAAACCCAATGGATCAAACAACGTTGCCATTTTTTTAAGCAAAATTCGTTTTGTATATACCGTATTTTCTTCGGTTGTTACAGAATGAAAACTAAATAAATCAGGTTTTGCTTTCCAGACAACTCCAAGTGTTTTCATTGCAGGCAATTCTCCAGAATCTAAATTTATATGTTCCGCACGATCATTTTTTGGTGTTATTTTAAGAACTTTGACCAAGTTTGAAAGCCGCTTTCGTGCAAACATTCCTGCTGAACCCCATAGTAGCGTGAGTTCCTTGTATAATTGAATTCCTACTTTTTCATCAACTACAGAAGTTATTGTGTCGTCCATGTAAGTTGCTTCAAGAACAGCTTCAGAAGCCAAAGGAAATTTTTTTGCATACTTTCTTGCGTGTTCTTGCGTTACAAATTGAGCCATAAAAGGCGCTGAGTTGATTCCAAATACGAGCCGATTAAACTGAAATACCTCAGGCTCGGCAGTTGAATCTAGGTTTCTCTTATAAAATTCGTTGGTAACTTTGGTCATTTTTATGTATTCCAATTTTTAAATACATTTCTGCTATATCACAAGCTAAAGCCACTGCGTATTTTCGAAATCTCAGCAAAACAGTCACAAGGTCTTGTTGAAGTTTCGGACCTTGATAAATAACATCATTAATTGATTTACCATTATATTTTGCAGATCCATCAAACGCAATTCTGACTTTGTAGTTGATTTATCAGGACGAAGAATTGGAAAATGTGGCAAGTACCAACCATCTCCAAGATCCCTTTTATTGATTTTCTCCAAGTATCCCTTTTCTTGATACTGCTTCATAATATTATTGTACTCTTCTCCTAGACTTTTATAACGCCATCTTCTCCTAGACTTGTATAACGCCATTGTATAATTATTGTCCAAATGTCTATTACCTTTCCATGGTAATTTTAGCTCATATCTTCCGTTCTCAGTTTTTAGCGAATTAGTTACTATATTAAGGGCGGTAGAGTCTTCTGGACTTGTCATCGTTTTTCTGAATTGCATCTCTTCGTCGCCTTCAATTTTCCATAATTTTTTAATGGTGTTGTTTGCATCTTCTATTTCCTTTGTACTAGATGTTATTTTCGTAAAATGGGTTTGAAAAGATCCATCAGTACCACCAACACATGTCCATCCGAGCGGCGTGAGTCAAGCCACTGGTTCATTAAATCCTCCTTTTACTTCCTTAATTGCACAGTGCAGCTCAGCGTAATCCACACCGATTAAAATGTCAATTTTTGGTTTTTGTCCAATTTGGGAATTCGATTTTTCTTAGATGTTTCCAACTTTTTGAGATATTTTCCCAATTAACTGCTTTTAAGTTTCCAGTTACATTATTAACTGTAAAAGCTTCCACTGTAATTTTTGTTTCTCCATTCAACGATTCCAACTGAAAATCTACCGGCATCGTTTCGAAAGAATCAATTTTTCCATTTATCATGTTTACAGTTACCTTTTCGGTTTTACCTTGTAGTGACAACTCAGCCGCTACATCAGAGTTCAAATATGTCTTGGTGCTTCCATCGCCAAGCAATGCGTTTACCGCAACTTTTTTATATCCATTACGAAGAATAACTGGCATCGTTCTAAGAGATCACGTCATGAACGATATTAGAAAATTCTCATACGTCAAACATCCAATTTCATTCAAATCACGTCATGAACTACATGTAGTTCATGACGTGATTTGAATGAAATTGGATGTTTGACGTATGAGAATTTTCTAATATCGTGTCTTTTTCTTTGTAGTCTTCAGATATTGTTTCTTTTTTATGACTTCTCTTGTGAAGCAAATGATTATGGGTATCTGCACAGCCATCAATCCCACAAATTCTTGTGTTCCAGCATTCTTTTGACGAATGGTTAGAATTCAAGCATCTAAAGCAGAGTTTATTTTTCTTAGCTGTCTCCCATCTTTCTTTAATATTTTGATTTTGAAACGTTGGACACTCCCATATTTTATGATCGTTTTTGCAAACAGAACATTTCTGTATCCAATTTATTTTCTTTTTTTGATCACTGTTACCAAAGTAAGAATTTCCTTCGTGTGCTTTGCTACCAATAGTTTTTTTTAAACCATGTAGAGTTTCCGTTGCTGCAATTTGAAAATCTGCTTCTTCAACAATAAACTTTTTTAGAGTTTTAACATTTTCGTTTAATTTGTTTTCATACACCCATCGTTTGTATCTAATTAACATTATCTCAGGAACTTTTTTTTGCAATTAATGGTACAATGTCCCATCGCCAAGTTCTTCTGTTCGATTTGCTTCTTTTAAGTTTGTTACTGCCACATCCAACAATTCCGCAAACTTTTCAACGTCTTTTATATTATTTTCCCACATAGGTTTAAAGTTGTTCAATTCATCCAAATACATAAGAATTTTTCTCCTTGTTCCGCCATATTTTCTTTCAAGTCTTTCTTTTGCAGCTTCATAAGCGAATGACGAATGCCCAAGTCCTTCAATTACTTTTAATGCGTCTTCACATAAATATTGACGTAATTGAAGTAATTTATACTCAGACGTCGCTGGGCCTTGATCAATGCATGCGTAGAATGAAGCTTTCCAATTTTCTTTGTTCTTTTTATCACCATTAAATGTTGGTATAGAGACGCGTTTGAGTTGTTTCCATAAATCATGTCCAATTTTTGCAGTCTTTTGATCCAAATCAATTATTTCATTTTCCATTTTACGCATGATATGCGTTGATTTGATTGGCTCTATTTTGCTATTCCCATTTTCTTCTTTATTATCTTCATCATACTGTTCATTACTTTTTTGAGTACTTAACCATTGATAACATTGCTTTTTTGTTTCCATTTTAAGTTCTTTTGATTCCAGAATTTCGTATTTCTTTGATAATTCAATCATTATCTCGAGAGCTTCGTTTTGAGTCTTTGTTAATTGATTACTCAATTCGCGTAACTCATTTTTACAAGTGGGTTCATCGTCTCCAATTTGCTGAATAATTTGATGTTTAGTTCGCGTAAACGAAGACTTTAGAACTATTTTCTTCCTGTTCAATGCAGATACTTCACTTTGAACGGTTAACTGATCTTCCATTTGATTATTTGATTTTTGATTTTTTCTTTTTACCATTCTTCCGTGTTGAAGAAACTACCCTCTGCTACCAATTATGATCCGATGGCGATCACAAATAATACCGAATATGTATTATAACTTATATTTTTATAATCTTAACCGTTTTTACATTAACTATATTACTTATATTCTTTATATTTTTGTATCTTAAAAACAACAACAACAAAAACTCTATTTATACAAAAATTTCGTTCAATAACAAAAAAACACAATTGTTCAAATAGTTGCCACATAATTGTTATTTTGTTCGTTATAGCCATATTGGCGCTATTTACTGGTTATATCGATCGTGGTATCGGAATGTTGTTTTTCTTTTATGCTAATTCAATTTTCTTCCAATCAGTCAATGTAGCAGCACTCCGTTGCAAGTCAGGCTAATTGTCAGTCGATGTAGCAGCACTCCGTTGCGAGTCAGGCTATAAGATAGTCGATGTAGCTCCGCGCATGTTTTACAGTTAAAAAATAAAAATTTTATTTTAAATAAAGCTTTAAAATAGATAATTAAGAATTGGAGAGTTTTTTTTATTATTATTTTTATCATAAAAATAATGGTATTAAAAATATAATGTTTTGTTTCGCAAAAAAGTTCGCATTTTACCGGTTCGCAGCTGTTCGCATTTTACCGACAACCGAGGAATAGCGCATAACTTGACATTTGAAAAATGAAGTATTTTATAAAACTATT